CTGATTCTGGGAGGTGAGTGGAATGTTTAGTGGAAGGAAAAAGTGTAGCTATAAGGCAGAACCAATAAAAATTTTCACTTTTTGAACAGAATTAGTGAATAAAATATCATTTTGAAGATGTTTTTAATAATCCGTTGACCTCTGACCTGTTTGGTTTGTCGTCCCTCCTGACCAGCAGATGGGTTGATCTGCTCCTGCCAGGCGGGTGAAGATGAACGGAAAGAAGCTCCGCTGCAGGCGCTGCCGCAGGGCCGTCGGAGACGCCAAGTGTTTGGTGGCGGTCAGTAACGAGTTTTATTTAAATTTAATCAAACTGGTTTGATTTGGATACAGAACATTGTAAGGACTGAGCCTCAGACATTCAGCATCTCTGTGTTTTCATCCAGTTCAGACTTTTGTTATTTATTAATGTAACATCATTAATGTGGAGAGTCACTCCAAGAAGTGGACATAGGGCACTTCCTGTGAACTCTGGAAAACAAGTTTTGATTTTTAAAGTGAATTCAACCATCACTTTTATCCATCCATCTCCTTTGAATGTTGTAAATCCACTTCCTGTTGTTGTCTTCTTTGTGGTTTCTGCCAGTAGTAACATCCGGCTGTTGATCATGTGACTCATATGTTTCCATTACAGCTTCATGAGACACATTTATTTTGATACATTTATAAAACCACCTCATCCCAGTGTAAAAACTGCAGTTTTTCCATTAAGTGAATTTATTTTAGTGCTCTCTGTTTTACTGGAAGCTCAGTTTGTGTCTCCAGGCAGCAGACTCCGGTCCGGGCCCCTGCTGTATTTGGCACATGGATGTTGATAATCTACCAGAGTGGATCTGGACTTCAGTTCAGCAGGTTGGTTTTCTCCTCTTCCTGCTTGTTTTTCTCATCATTTAATATTTAATGTAATGTCTGACATGAGGTTCAGGCTGCGTTCTCACTGCAGCCTGAAGTGAACCAAATCTGACCGGTGTCGTTCAGACGGTCATCCAGGTTGAGGCAGAATCATGAGTTCTGTGTTGCTTCAGGTCGGCTGAGCTCCACTGATCTGTGATCAGAACCGTTTGTAGAGTTTTCCAGAACCTGCCGTCTCGTCCTCAGGCCGTCTGGACGTCCGGGAAGCTGAACTGCTTCCACTGTGGGTCCCGGCTGGGCGGCTTCAGCTTCCTGAACCGGTACCGCTGCCCCTGCGGCCGCGACGCCACCGTCCACTTCAGCCGCAGCCGCGTGGATCTGGACCAGAAGCCCCGCCTCCTCATCGTCCCGCCGCGCAGGACGGGCCGCGGGTCGGCGCAGGCCCAGCAGGAGGAGCCCGCTCTGGGCCCGGTCTGTGCCGGTGGGGCCCCACAACACGGTGCCGCCGGAGACACGGACGCGCCGCAGCTGGACTCGTCCGTCAGGAGAGAAGCAGAACTTCAGGCTGAACCGGATCATGAGGTGTGGAGCGACGCCGTCCCCTGGGAGTCTGGAGCTCCAGCAGGATTAGCATCATTAGCACCGTTAGCATCGTCGTCTGCAGCGCCTCAGGAAACAGATGATGTTTATTTCACCTCTGAGGGAGAAGCGGAGCGGCAGGAGGAAGCGGTTCGTTTACTTTTCTGATTGAATCTGGAGTCAGCAGGAAACTTTTTAATACTGAATGTTATTATTTAATGTTAAATTAACACTGGAGGGAAAAAAGACGATTGTTTTACTTTCACCAGTAGAGTCTGTTCCCAAAATGAAACCTGGAGATGAAGCTGATTTGAACTCAGTGCAGAGAAGAAAATAACAGAAAAAACATTGAATCACTCAGGATTCAACACCAGAAATGACACAAACATTTCCTACACATAATGTTTATGTTTTCAGGCTTGATGTTTGTTTTGTGATTATTAATAAACAATCATCTGAACACAGCGATGATTGATTAGATAATTTAAACATCGACTGATGTTCTGTCAGAGAGTTTGTCTTTAGGTCGCCATTTTTATTCAACTGAACCGAAACACCAAATTCCACAGCACATCTACATGTCAGGGCTGTCATAGTCAGGCTAGCATAACTAGCTTGACTTTAGAAAAAAAGCAAATTTATTTGTAAATTCCATTTCATGTACAAGACAATTCAAACAGCTTCACAGAAAGTTTCATCAGTTGAAAATTTTAGACTTGCGGAAATTTTCTGAGTTCCAAATATCTAAAATGTTCGACCTCTGAACCTCAGAAATGTTCAAGTTTTTTCTTGAAAATTTCTGAGATTTTTCTCTCAGATTATTGAGTTTTGGAGCTCAGAAATTTCTGAGTGTCTCAGTGGATTTTCTCTGTTTTTCTGTCTACAATGACTGAAACTCAGTCGTAGCTCCAACCTGCTGCCACTTTGAGTGGCAAAACTCCACAGCATGAATTAGCAGGAAACGACAGAGAGACGCAGGACGCTGCTCTGTTTTCTTTAAACAGTTAACCATTCAGGAGAACCGGTTCTGTCCCGGTCCTGACCCAGTTCTGACCTGATTCTGACCTGGTTCTGACCTGATTCTGACCTGGTTCTGACCCAGTCCTGACCTGATTCTGACCTGGTTCTGGTCCGGTTCTGACCCGGTTCTGGTCCGGTTCTGACCTGGTTTTGACCCGGTTCTGGTCCGGTTCTGACCTGGTTTTGACCTGGTTCTGGTCCGGTTCTGACCCAGTTCTGGCTCTCTCCTGACCAGGTGTCGTCCTCTCAGGGCCCCGTGGTTCTGAGCTCCTTGGCCCGGATCAGACTGAGCAAAACAGACCAGAACCGACTGAAGAGTCAGAGGAGGAAGCAGAGGAGGAGAGAGAGATGGCTGCAGAGCCAGCTGCAGGAGGAAGAGGAGGAGGAGCCGGTGAGGAAGAGCAGGGGCCACACTGCAGTAAATTAGATTATTATTAAAAAGTTGATTGATTTCAGTCTGTAACTCAGACTGCAGCCGTATTTCTGTTAAATATGACGATTAAAACATGTTTAGGTTATAAAATGACTCCAGATCAATAAAACACGGTTTAATATCTGAATGTTTATTATTTACTGTTGGTTTGATCTGATTTACTGAGATGAATGAGGAGAATCGATGAGTAGAGAAACTACAGAGTCTCTGCAGGTTGTCGGTTTCCCTCCTCTGACCTCTGACCTGTGTGTCCCAGTCGTCCCCAGCCCGTCCTCTGGCCGGTGAGGACGTGGACCGGGACGGTCTGACCTGCGCCGTGTGTCTGGACGTTTTCTTCCGGCCCCGCAGCTGCCTGCCCTGCGCTCACGTCTTCTGCGAGCCGTGCCTGCGGCGCCTGGCCCGGAACCGCGCCGCCCACACGCCCTGCCCGCTCTGCCGCCGCCTCATCGCCAACACCGGCTTCCACAGAGGTCGGCGCCCGGCGGGTCACAATCTGAGACTGAGCCCTCCGGTTCTGACCCCGCTGCTCTTCCTCCCTCAGAGCTCGACCACCGGGCCAAGACTCTGTTCCCGAAGGTCTGGGCGACGCGCAGGCAGAACTTCCAGAACTCGCCGAGCGCCCGCTGGCCGCTGCCCAGCTCCCGGGAGCAGAGCCGCTTCCTGTGCTGTCAGGGCATTTTCACTTTTAACTCAAACTGCTGTGTCACAGTTAGCAGGTTTTTCTATTTTTATTTGAGTCTAACCGCTGAAACACCCACCTGACTGGGTCAGTAATTAATATCTCTGGTTTTAGGCTCATTTTCAGAAGCCTGATTTCCAAAATGGCTCCTCCTTTAGTTCATCTTCCTAACAGTGTCAGAACCAATCAGAGATGTAGAGGAGTTCCTCGTTTGTAGTGATGAGTTTTCTCTGTTTGTAGATAAAATGTTGTTTTTCCACCACACTGGCCCCAACGGGGCTCTGAATGTGACTCCATGTTGGGATCAGTTTGTTGGAAAATATGAAATTAAAACACAGGAGTCAGAATCTCTTTTCCTCTGCATACAAAACAAAAACCACAAAAATCCATAAATTCTGACATTTTCAAACACTAATTTGTCCAAAACATAATCAGACACCAGGCCTGTTTCTGTGGCATTAAGAGTTTTGTTGTTGTTCGGCGAGACAAAATGGCCTCCATTTAAATATAATACACTGAAGCTTTGCTGCCCCTGGTGGCTCAGGTGTGTCATTACACGTCACACCTGTTTTCCCAAAGAGCTCCCAGTTTAAAAGTATTTATCTTATTTTATTGCTCACAATAAGGTAAGATTAATCCTTAATATCTATCTTAATAATAAATTTTATATATATAAAACTTTGCTAACTATAGTGACCGTTTTAAAATAAATAACTCCAATCCTGATTTTGTTGCTCAAACTAAATTCTTTGTTTTTAAAAATGATTTAATTAAAATGCTCAGTTTATTTGTGAGCAGGTAGAACCATGACTTTAGTTTTAAAATGTTATGTTGTTTATCTGGAGCCAATAGCTGAATAGAAAAGAGTCATAAACTAAGTTTCATATATTTAGTCTTGAGAACAACTAAAATATTGATAATCTGAATAAAAAGTCTATCATAGAGCAGTTTTAACGTTCAGCTGATCTGTGAATATATTTCTGTAGATCATTTTGTCTGGTGACCTCTGACCTCTGCTCTGTTTGCTGCAGGTCATGGGCGAAGCGCGGAGGCCGCGTGGCGACGCTGGCGCCTAACTCAACGACCCTTTGACCTCAGCGCTCAGGGCCTTCCTCAGCTGCCCTTCGCCACGCTCATCATCCTCTTCGTCATCTCCGTGGTGCTGCTCCTCTACCTCGCCGGGTTCTTCTTCACTTTACTCACATGAGCTTCTGCACATGACCTGCTTTTAATTTGCACATAATTTATGAACTTGAGAGGCTTTTCAGATCCTGCAGAACCTCAGAAAGGTGCTGAACGAAACGGTTCCAACTTCTTGTAAAATAAATTTCTCGACTTTTCAAGGACTGAGACAGTTTTCATGTTTTCTGGGTTTTTCCACCTTTTGTTGTGCTGAGTCATTGTTCCTGTGTCCTCAGAAGTACAGATAAATCCAACCAAAACAAACACGTTAGCTTAGCGCTAGCGGGAGAAACGGCTAGTGGTTTTTAACAAGAACTAAAGAGAAATTCGACAAACCCTAAAATCTTATACTATGTTTTTATTTACGTTTCATGAAGAAGGAAGTTGCTTTCAGTGTCTTCAGATGTTTTTGTGTCATTTCGTTCAGTGGTTCTTGGTGCAGCGCCCCCACAGGCCAGGAGGGGAACAGGTTGTTCAAAGGGTTTGTTAAAGTACCAAACCAAGTCTAACTAAATTTAGTTGGAAGACTAAATATTTAACTTACAAAATTTAGCTTCAAACTAAATATTTAGTTTCAAAATATATTATTAGCATTGTAACTAAATGCTTGGCTAGCTAAATATTTAACCTCAAACTTAGTATTTAAGCATCAAACTTGATAACTAAATATTTATCTTGCTCATTAGATGTATAGTTTTAAACTGTGATGAATGAATGAATAACTTGGTCAAACTGACTTTGAAAAACAAACTAATTTTTATTCCTCACATTATTGCTCTTACTTTTCAAACTGCGCCCCATAAAGAGCTGAAACTATCATTCTCATCCATTTAAACTAAAACATTTTGATGTTTTTACATTTAAACCCTGTTAGTGTGTGTGTGTGAGTGTTTTCATCCGTTCATGCTCACGTCGTTAAACGGTTAATCTCTTTCCGAGGTGACGACTTGTTTTGCTGTTGGCTCCTTCACACGTGAGGCAGAGGCGGAAGCCGCACAGCCTCCCCCTCCTGTCGGCCTTCACAGGCGGCTGAAGGTGACTCCATCTCGGCTGGGATGCAGAAGCGGCTGCTGGGGCTCCCATCGGCCGGACACCAGCTCCTGTTTCCCCGGGAAACCAGCGCTTACAGCCGGGGAAGGGAGGCCCTCCGAGCCGGGCTGTCATCCGCCTGAGCTGACTCATTTTGTTGGATCTTTTTGGATATTTTTATTTTGGGGTGCCTCTCTCTGGGTGGGCTCCGGCGGAGGGGGTGCATGCATGTGTTCCGCACCGTACGGGCGGAAAAAGCGCCCAAGATCCGCAGGGAGCATCTTCCCCATCAGCAAGGGGGCGCAGGCGGATCCGGAGCGGCGGGAGAGCACGGAGGCGGCGGTGGACGACAGCAGGATGGTGGGTAGAAAGACATTAAAATAAATGAAACCCGCTCCGCTCTGTTCGTGATTTATCCTCCTTTACTGGTGTCGGTTTCCAGACGGTGCAGGAGTTCAACACGCTGGTGGCTCTGTACCGGGAGCAGGTCATTTCTGTCGGGGAGATCTCGGTGGACTGTCCGTCTCTGCGGGCTCAGATGCACCAAACCCGGTCCAAAGGATGCTCCATGGCCCGGGCCGCGCACCAGGACCTGGCCATCATCTCTGGATCAGGGTAAACACAAACCGCAGGAACATGGAGCAGCATTTTACCGCTTTGGCTTAAAGTGAAAACAAAAAAAAATTAAATTCTGATTTATTATTGTTGCAGTAACATTTTCCTGGACGATAAATTGTTCCAGGAATTATTGCGATAAATTATGATATTGTTGTTTTGATATTGATATTGTTGTAATGTATTACTTCAAGATTACAAATAGAGGTGAGATATTATTTGTATTATTGGAAGTTCACAGTCTCAAAGACCAAGAAACTTAAATTTTGTAAAAATAAAAAAGGAAGGCATTTTAAATATCCAGAATAAAACATCTATAGCAACAAAGAAAAAAAGCAGTTTATCATTTTTTAAAATAAAAATACAAAATAATCAGAATGAAAGTTATTTGTCTTTTTTACTATTCCATACACAAGTCAAAATGAAGAGAGAAAACACAGAATACAAACAAGATGAAACTTGCACAAAAATAAATATTAAATTTCCTGTCAACAGTGAAGGTAGAATAACTTTATCCATAAAGCCTTATTAAAAACAAAGCAGCAGAATACTTTATGTGTATTTTCTAAAACACATTATTGAATTTCAGAAAACTCATAAAAGAAAACAAACATTATATTCTTTTAGCAAATTATGCCACAAATTGATGAAGTGTGTAACAGTTTCAGTTCCACAGTTTACTGGGTTTTTATGATCACTTTTCCTCCTGATGCATTAGTGAGTCTAAATCTGGAGCTCCGTCTGTGAACATCCTCATCCATCTTGTCTCCTGCAGGCCGGAGGACGGACAGATCCATCCTGAAATCTGCCGGCTCTTCATCCAGCTGCAGTGCTGCCTGGAGATGTTCATAACCGAGATGCTCAAGTCCATGTGCCTGCTGGGGGTTCTGCAGCTGCACAGGAAAGGTACAGCACTAAAACAGAAACACTTTTATGACTTATTTTGAAGTTTAGACGTTTTCTCATAACCAGAGACACCGCTAGCTGAAAAGCTAGCTGCTCTAACCCTACAGCAGTAATTATAAACATCAGTTCTGCTAACGCTAAAGTGCTAACTAATGCTAAAGTTGATGTTTTACATCATCAATGTGTGTAAATTACCCAAACATTATATTCCAGTTAGAGTAGAACTACTTCAAAATATTTTTACTAAAGTTCAAACTAAAAACTTATTTGGTAAAAATTCTCCTCAAGTCCTGAGTAAATGATCAAATTATTGATCATTTAATATTTAGAATTTACATCATCAGATGGACTAAAATATAAAGTTATGTGAAAATTTAGGTATTTTAAAGACCAGAATGACAAAAATTCAACAAAAACTAAAAGACTTCTTAAGCTTTAACAAAAACTGCTGGATTTTTGGTTAAAACATGTTTTTCATTCAGTGGGTAGAAAATCCAGAAATTTTACTCAAGAGTAGAAATAGTTCATAATGAAATTACTTAAGTAGAAGTAAAAATACTCCTAAAAGTTTATATTTTTTAAAAGTTACTAAGTAAATGTAACCAGTTACCCAACTCTGTTCAACAGTTAATCTCCTAAACAGGATATGAGATGAATTTATGAGAAGCTAACTGCGCTAAACGTTTTCAAAATTATCAAAACTGCTAATGCGCTAAATGAAAAATTAGCTCTGCTATTAGCGCCTTAGCGAAGTGTCCCACTACTGCTAATAGCTAACTACAGCTCTTATTTCATGGATTTAAACTAAATATTAGCCACTAAAATGCATTTTGTTTAATATATTTTGATAATAAAACCACACGCTGTGAGCGATTCGGTGGTGAAGAGAACGTTCGCCCTCCACGCTGCAGATCTGCTGCTGTTTGATTTTATCAAACATGTTTGAGATCATAGGATTATTGCCTCTCTGACCACCAGATGGCAGCAGAGAGTTGATTAAATTATTAAGATACTTTTTCTTCATGTTTTTCTAAATGTTTTTCTAAACTCTGATCCTCCTGGAGGCAGACAGCAGGTCTGTGTTGTTGCTTTATTTGTGGGTTTTCCTCCCAGCAGGAACCGACTCGGAGCCCAGAGTCGACTTCCGGATGGACGAGAGCTCGGACGTTCCCATCCTGGAGGACCGGTCGTCGTCTCCCATCGATTACCCTCAGGAGACGTGGCTGGTGGGGACGGATATCGACAACATAGAGAGGTGCTGCTCTGTTCTTCTTCTGTTTTCTGTTTTACCACGTGACTCATCCCAATGCGTTTCTACTGGCAGAGACATGAAAGAGATGAGAAACTTACTCAGCAAACTCAGGGAGACGATGCCGCTGCCGCTGAAAAATCAAGGTACGTCCAGCTGTAGAGTCACTGAAAAACTCTGCTTGGAATAACAAGCCATCATGAACATTTCATGTATTATTTAAAAATGTTTCTGGACTCACTGATCTTGATGAGGCGGACATTTTGATGGTGGAAATGTTTCTGTTCTTTGAAAGATGTAAAGGTCCCAAAAATAAAACTCCTAAACTAACTGGCTATAGCACTCTTGACTTGACAAGCATTAGCTTCTGCTAAATACCAGGTTGGTACGGCAGGTTAGCATTAGCAGCCATTAAATACCAGGTTAGTGTAGAGCTTTAGGGTTAGCTTCTGATAAATACTATGTTGGTGCAGTGCTTTAGCATTAGCTTTCACCAAATACTATGCTAATGTAGTGCTTTGGCATTAGCTTTCACTAAATACCATATTTATTAGCTCCCACCATGTTGTTGTAGCGCTTTAGCTTTAGTGAAACTACTGTTTATGGTCAGTGCAGTGGGGTTAGCGCAGCTACCCTTTTAGCTAGCAGTGCCCATCTCTGCCTTCTGCCTACTTCATCCTGTCAGACAGATTCAGTTTAGCTGATTTTCTGATTCTGCAGATCTGACAGTAAATCAGACCCGAGGCTGGTAAAACAAAACTGAACCCTAACTCTGAAACCGGTTTGTCGATCTGAAACATTTAGCCATCAGCTAAAGCGTTGCGCTCGTCATGTGACCTCTGGATGTTCTGACCCGTTCCAGACGACAGCAGCTTGTTGAACCTGACTCCCCAGCCGCTGGTCCGGCAGAGGAAGAGGCGCTTCCCCGGACTCTGCTGCATGGTGTCGGGCTGAGGATCGACAGCAACCTTTACTCCAGCTCCCACTCACATCTCACTTCATCTCTTCAAACTAAAATTGTAATCTTGGGTTTCCTCAAGAGCTCCAGAATGTTTAAGCTTGGTGTTTTATTGGGAAGCGGGTCTTTGAGACGTCAGATTTGTTCGGTTTCTGACCCTGTAAATGTCCAGGCTATGCAGCTGCCTCACTGTGCTTCTCCCATGGCTCCACATCGTGTCCAAGTCTCATTCGTCTTCTGGTCTGTGTGACGTGACAAAGCAAGTCCTCCACGTTACGCCGCGTTCATGTACAGAGAGAAGAGAGGAAAAGAAGAAAAGCTGCTTCTGAATCTTAATCATCTCCGTTTTTAAAGTATATTTTTATCGCTTCGATGTTGTCGGTGATAAACTTTGGAAAATCTGCTTTTTTCTGCCTGAACCAGTCGGTGCAGAAACTGAAACATGCATGAAAAATGTCATAAAAGTGTTAAAAAGAATCTGATGCTAACGGTGCCTTGAAGGGGGATTCACATCGCTCCCCCTAAACCACCGTGGATGATTCAGCAGGCGTTCATAGTCGTGAAAAGGAAGGAAAATAACATCTTTACAGTTAGCTTTGTAGTTTAATAAACTCCAGTCCGTTTGACTAGAAAGTCCAGTTCGGTTGGAGAGGTGAGACCAAAACAGTGAAGTCTTGTCCGCGTGCAAACCACGGTTTGGTTAAAGTGAACTCCTTTAATGCATATGTGAACAGCAAGCAGACCGGAGATCTATCCACAAGTAGGAAGTGGACTACAGCGCAGGGCATTCTGGGTAAATACAACCAAAACAAATATGTTTGCTACTGTTAGCGGGAGAGATGACTCGAGAAATCCTCCAGCTGCTAAAATCTGGCGCTAATCCATTTTTTGTTTCCATTTCATGAAGAAAAAAGTTGCATTCAGTGTCTTCTTCAGAGGTTTTCTCTGTGGTTGTTAGTGCAGCGCCCCCACAGGTGAGGAGGCTAACAGGTTGCTTAAACAGTTTGGATCGTTTGACTTAGTGCAGTGAGGAAGAGAACAGCAGCAGCTGGAAATCTGAAAATGTAACAGATGTTGCAGTTTTGGTCCCAAATCGGACTGAGTGTACGGGACTGTGGTGTGAAAACACCCTGAGATCGGCCTCCTCTCTGATCTGCTCTCCATATCTCAGTAGGTTTGTGCTTCTTCACTTTTCATTTTCCTTCCTCTTCACAACGTCTGAACTCTGCTGTTCAGGTCTGTCACATAAAATCCTGATAAAAACAGCGCAGTTTGTAGTTGTAGTGTTCACAGGATATAAAGATCTCTACGCTCCTTCTCCATTGTCAGATCTCACTCTAATGTCTGGTTTGGTTTTAGCCACGGTGGGAGTGTTTCTATTGGCGGGACGTTCCTCACCAAGTGGGCGGAGCTCTGCTCTGATGACATCATCTGTTGGGCGGCCATTCTCTCCCAAAGCTCTCGCCATATTTGTTGAGTCCAGTTAACGCCGTATCAGACACAGATGATTAGCGTACAGAACTGCTCTGCATTTATGGCACTTACATTTTCTTCTTCTGTTTAATTTTCAAATTGGTTATTTTATTTCCTGCAGTAGTCTTCCCTTAAACAAAAATATGAATTGGGGCCATTTTTTTTCTTTTTGAAAATTTACAAAAACATTTAAAAGAAAAAGCACTTGAAATTTTTTTCAAAAACTGTTTTAAATTATTTTTTTTCCAAAAAGAAATATATATATTGGAACTGCAAAAAAAAAAAAGTTTCAAACTGAAAAAAATTTAAATAAAAAAAATTATTTAAATAGAAAAAGAACCTTGAATCTGAAATTTAATTTAGAACTTTTTTTGTTCTAAAACTTATTTTCAGTTTTAAAAAGGAAAAAAAGGGAACTAAAAGAAGATTTGAAACTGCCAATTTATTTTGGAACTGCAAAAACTGAACATTTTTTAGTTGTAAAATTTATTTTTCAGTTTCAAAACTTTTTCTTACAGTTTTAACTTTTTTTCCTGTTGAACCAACTTTATGGCCCCAATATAGCTCCATAAACGGAAATACGGAAATATGAGAATGCTTCTCATATTTCCGTTTTTGCATTACTTTGACAAAGCCTCACTTTTAAAATGAAAATACACCAAAAACAGAAATAATCTGTTTGCATCCAGCTGGGGCCATTTTGCAACTGAATGTAATGTAACCTGTAAACGATTGTGTTTTGTTTTCAGTTTCACTGTAACGCTGTGCTGATGTTTTAAATAGTCCGTCTTGTTTTGGCATGTGTGTGACTCAGATTAGGCCTCTGTGTTGATGTCTCCTGCAGAGTAGAGGAAACTGCTGAACTTAATGTACAGCTTAGGACATTTTATAACAAAAATAAAGTTTTATATACAAGAAAATCCCATTTTTAAGATCATTTTGTTGTTTTTTCTATCAGCTCCATGCATCATATTCATCAGGAATTAGGATTAGCTAAATACTAAAATAACAAATTAAATTCAGAAATACTTTAAGTTGTAACCTAATATATACGTTTCCTCAGAGCAGTCACCCTAAAAGCGGTTCTGAAGAAGATTTAGGGTCCAAAATAAAGCGCAAATATAACTTTATATTCTAATACGTTATTTAAAATGAGTTCAACCTACAAATGAAGCTCATGACGCCATGTTTGATTCCTAACAGGAAGTGGTGGTTGTTTTGAAGCAATCTGATTGGCTGACAGGTTGTAGCTCTGCGCTATGCTGTCCCCTATTGGTTTGGCATGATTATAACAACAATCAGTGATGGGTTTGTGATTTTATGTGGATAAAAAAATCCTGTCTGTACGATCTTGTTTTTTAAAACAATGTGGAGCAGATACTGTTTACAGAAAACCAGAATATAAGGAATTTGTTTGGGAATACATAGGAATTAATAAAACTTTTAGATCTTTATTGTTATTGGTTTGAGTTCTACATAAACAGTATTTTAGATTCATATTGTGAGCAGTTTTAATAAAAATCTGGCCTATTTTCCTTCTATCAGATGGTTTTGTTTTGCTGAAATGATCCAGACTGGGCTGAGATGTTCATACCAAAACAAATCGTCGATTGTGCAAAGCTGCTGATTGTGAAAATGTTTGGAAAACTTAAGAAGGTCATAAATGAGCAGAAACTTTCCCCGTCCCCCTCTGGAAGATAAGCAGTGAAACTGAACATCTGGTTTGCATCGAGCAGCCTGGAAACTCCAGAGCTGCTTCGCTTCCCGTAACAACCGGGATCAAGAACCTGTGATTTGTTTTTAGACACCGATTGGTCAACAAGAGTTCATAAACAAGAGGATTCCCAGAGGATCGCTGTGGGTTTATAACCACGCAGACAGGAAGCTCAGCCTCAGATCAGCTGCAGCTCTGCTTTTATTACCAACCGATTCAGATTTCTGATTAAAATCCCTCCTGCAGACGACAGCAGTTCATCTGGTGAGTTATGGCTTCATCTTTTAAGTTTTTGTGGTTAAAGTCTGCTCAACAAAACCTGCTGCAAAATGTATAGATATTTAATTAAGGAGGAAAATGCAATAAATTTGCATGAAAACTGCAGATGCAATAAAAACAATTTCTCAAAAGAGAATCAGAGTCACTGGGGAAAAAACCTGATTTTAATTTAATAATTCTTAGAAAAAAAAGTCAAAATCTAAGAAAAAAAAATATTCTGAGATTAAAATCAGAATTCTGAGAAAAAAGTCAACATTTTCAGAAAGACAGTCAGAATTGTGTGAATAAAGTTAAAAATCTTTTTTGTTGTTTTTGTTCAGTGGCCTTATTTCTCCTCTATAGAAACTAAATGAATCGCATTGCTTTATTTTAAAATAAATAAAAACTTAAATAATTTTCAGGTTGCTCGATGTCTCCATCCCGCAGCATGATGCTGCCGCTGCAGCTGCTGCTCCTGGGCTTCATGTCCGGCAGCCTGGCCTGTCACTGTGACCGGTACCCCTGGGCCCCCTGGTCCGCCTGCACCAGAACCTGCAACTACGGCACTCAGAGCAGAAGCAGGTGAGAGAAAAAAAAAAACAGATTCTTAGAGTTAAACACGTTATAAGGTTGTTATTTTTCTAAATGATGTTTGAGAAACGGCCAATTGTGCAACAACGAACCAAAAACATTAAAAGTATTGTTGCAAACCCAGAAGATCCGACAGACGTTCCCGTCTCTGCAGGAACGTTCAGTATGATGATTATTACTGGAAGAACAGCTGCCACCAGATGTGTTCCAGATACGACACCAGGGGTTGCAACCAGCAGGCCTGTCCCATCAACTGCGTCCTGTCCGAGTTCAGCCGGTGGTCCGACTGCTCGCCCTGCGCCAGGAAGCAGGCAGGAACCAACGTCACTCCAAAACACTTCATGTTCACATTAGAAACTACAGTATTTGTGAATAATTTATTAAACCCAGCTGCCATGACTCGGGTTTCTGCCGTGTTCTGCTTCAGTTTCGGACCCGGTCTGTGGTGAGACCGTCCCAGTTCGGTGGCTCTGAATGCAGCGTGGAGCTGACAGAGGAGAGGCCCTGCCACCCCTCCAAAGACTGCCAGCTCCCGGCGGTGGGCTGCAGGGGCGACTTCAAGTGTGACAATGGTGACTAAAACTGAGTCTCCTGAACTTCAGCTGTAAGAAATGATTAAAAACGACCTTTTCTGTTGCAGGGCGCTGCATCAACTCAACGCTGACATGCAACAAACAGAACGACTGTGGAGATAACTCGGATGAGAGGGGCTGCGGAGCCCCTACGGTGGTCTGTCCCTCTGAGAGGAGACCCGCCCCGGGGGCTGATCTGGTTGGAAACGGGTAAAACTGCCTGGTTCTTACCCCAAACTGCTAACTGCCCCAGAGACGTTTGTAGAGGTGTACTTTCATTGTAGTGAGCACACTTCCACTAATGCGCTAATTGAAAAACATTTTTTTATTTAGCGCTTTAGCATTTTTTCTAACTTTGAAGGTGTTTAGCGCACTTAGCTTTTTGTATATACATTTTTTCAGATAAATTCTAAGGCACTAATTTACTCGGGTGTTTTATAAACTTTCAGTTGAATAAAGTTCAACATCTATGTTTAAGTTTTGGTTACTAACTGTTAAGAGTTCTCCAAGTAGTTGCATGTTTAGCACCTTAGCATTTTAGCTAACTGACATCTTTTAGCGCATTAGCTTCCTTTTCTGGTACATTCTAAAGCACTTTAGCATTGCCTTCTGCTAAATTTGATGTTGTTATAGCGCTTTAGCATTAGCTGAGCTAATATTTATTATTGGTGCTTTCGGATTAGTGATATAGCTAATATTATA